TTTATTTGGTTTATCTGGACGATATTTTCTTGGTAATCTATAAAAAAACAAGATAGTTAGCGTAAATTAAAATTATTTCTAGATATACAATGTTACTAACTCAATTTGGATGGCATCGATGAATGATTTATATTTTTTTATAGTATATCCACCAGAAAAATACTTTTCATCTTCTTTGGGACATTGGTTAATATGAGAAGGAGTTGTTTCATAACTATATGATTGCAACTTGCCGCCAAGAGAATTAAATTTTCCACGTAGCAATTCTGCAAAAGAAAGCGATTCTTTATGATAAAGATAAAGATTTTTTATGCTAGACTTAGTTTGAACAGATGGGGATTGATTAATATGTTCATCTGATAGCATTAACTCCTCTTTCGATAGCGTATATCCCAACTCGATATTTTCAGATTGCACATGTCCTATGTATAAAAAAATAAGCAACACAATAAAAACCAAAACGACATTTTTCTCACCATGAAGGTCGATCAATAAGCCACGCCCGTGTTTTTCTTTTATATCTTCAATCGCTCGGGATATAAAATTATGATACTCTTCCCAAGCTTTTTTAGTTTCAGGAGCAGAAGATCCTTCTTCTAATTTGCGGTTAACATCAAGTTTGCTTCTATGCAAGTGATTTACTATTAAATAAGGTTGACTTTTAAGTTTTATAATTTCCTTTTTTAGATCTTTTCCAATTTCTTGAATATAAAGATCATTTTTTGTAATTGTTTTTGAGGAATTTTCGCGATTTAGTACTTCTGGTGGACGCTGACGTCCTCCATGTGGTATACAAACAATTAAAGGCATGTTCCCTTTTTGGTATTCAATATATCCATTACTGCTAAATATAACCTCTGGTTCATCTGTCAGCATTTTTGTTAGATATCAATTAATTTATGATTTACGTTTTTTAATTTTTTAGTATTTATAATTTTGCTAAGTGATTAATTTAATCAACTATTGTTCTGAAAAAAAGGGAACAATATTCTTTAAAATAATAAGTAGAGTGTCCAGAATTCTGCGGTACATAATTCTGCTTGCTCTAAAAATGTCTTTTTGTATTGTATTTAGTTTTTAAAAAATCACGCTTATCTTATGGAGACAATACAAAAAATATTTTTAGAGTGAGCAGAATTATGCACCACAAAATTCTGGACACCCTAATTAACAAGTAAATTTTGCTATTTTTCATAAAATTAAAAGAAAATTAATAAAAAAAAAAAAGAACATAATTGAACAAAAAATCAGTTCAATTAATTTTTGTAATTGCTAAATTTTAATTAATGATTTATTTTTATTTAAGCAGCACTATTTCAATAAAATTTTTAATTTATGCGATAATAATACATTTGTGCTGATTAAAGTTTAACTTTAAAATGCATTTGAGTATTAATTAAGCAGAGTTAATTGAATAGATATATCAAACGAATAATCGAAAACAACATTGAAGATTTTGAACTTGAAAAACTTAGAGAAATAGTAACGTAACTTACAATGTAACTTACATTGTAAGTTACGTTGTCAGGTAAGTTATAACGACCCTACTACCCAGATAGATTAAACCAAAATTTATACTTTAGTTTTGCCCAAATTTATATTCGAATTCTGCCCAAATTAAACTATAATTTTGTCCAAATTTATATTCGAATTTCGCCTA